ATATTTTATTTAATTTTTATTTTTAAATGGAATCTTTTGAACTAAGATTTGTAATGGCTTCATTATTTATTTCGTTTTTATTAAATTTATGTAACCTGAAGATTGCTCTAGAGATTTCTTTTCCTGTGGCCTTCTATTGATAATGTTTTAAGGGGAGTTTTTTTTTTCATTTCTTAAATCTTGCCTTAAATATGTTATGAGTTCATCATCAATGGCATTTTTCTTATATAAATTTATATAATTAGTTTGGGGTTTTTTAGTTTTCTTTAAAAAAAAGATATTTTTAATACTTTTTTCCTCTTGTTCTTTAACTGGGATTTGTATGTATGTGTGTGTGGATTTTAATTTTGTTTAATATGATATATATTAGTTTTATGGGGGAGTCTGAGTTTTAATGTGGATTTTCTTCTATTCTTGTTAGAATCTCTTTCAATATTTCCTTTTTTACTTCTATCCTTTTCGAATGGTTATTAGATGATGCGCGCTATTTTCTTTCTTTTTTATTTATTTTTTCTTATGTTTTGTTTTTGTGTTTTTTCTTTAGTTTAATTTTGTTTTTCATTTGAATATGTTTAATTTGTTGTTGTTGTTGTGGTTTTGTGATAAAATTGTTTTACAGTTTATTTTTCAAGGATGTTGTTCGTTCGTTTCAGTTGTTGTGGTTGATATTTGTCCTTCAGTTTTTTTCGTGTTCTATCCCAATGTCCGGGAATGGGTTTTTATTGTAATTTTCACTTCGTATTGAGGGCGCTTATTGCTATAGTTTTTCTTTAGAAAAAATACATGCTATTCGTCGTGTTCATTATTTTCAGAATGGGGGCCAAATTGATTTTATTGGTTTTTTTTGCTTCTTGGATGCAATTTTTTTTAGCGGATTTTGAAGTTTAGAGTTAATTGATACGGAAATATATACACTAAAGTTTGGAGTTCATGGAAATTAAATTTATTTTTTTTTTAAATAAAATATGAAGATCTAGAGAATGGCTTAGAGAGTTTTCGTGGTAAAATAATCTGTAATTTTTTACACAGAAAATTTTGTTTAACAATAAGGAATTTTCTATACTCAATATAAATAATTATTTCTTATTCAAGAATTTTTCATTGAGTAAGAAAAATGTTGAATATATATTTTAATACACATTTTAAAACGGGTATATAAAATGTTAAATTGAATTCTTATAAAACAAACGAAATGCAATATACAATTTTTCACTCAACATTAAAAATGTAAGAATTATTAAAAATTTTATTTTTCATCTTATATTTCCACAAAATTTTTCCTTATTGTAAACTCAAAATTTTTTATTCTGTGTAATCCTGCTTCTGAAATATTTCTTATCTGGTCAATTTTCAAAGTTTGTGATTTGAAGTTTGGTCATTAAAGTGTTATTTATATATGGTAAAATGTATATTGAATTGTATTCAAGTGTCTAGGGGGGGTTCGACAGGGTTTCTCTATATATAAAAACATATATTTTTGGGGTTCGCTATTAAAAAAGCAAGCTGAACATAGGTATTTTTATATAAATATGGGGGGGGTGGGACATAAAGTAAATAATTAATATTTCATATAGTTTTTTTCTTTCGAAAACCATATGTATATCCTGAAAATTATTGCATTATTTAAAGTGACATAAATTCGGAAATATTTCATTTTATTGGGGGAATATTCTTATACATTCCCATTTCGTCTGCTATGAGATGTTGTTTATTAAAAATATATATTCTCTAAAAAGGACTGTTATTCCCAAAGTTTTCAATAATGGAGTTTAATTGAATTTTATTCATCAATAATATGAAAAAGTATATTTTCTATTTTTTTTTTTAATTTCAATTACCTAGTAGATACTTTTTGGAATTCTATAATCATTATATACTCTTACAAAGATAAGACCAACAAACCCCTTATTTAATAAAAAAATAAAATTTAGAATTCTTAAATTGAATTTGATTGAAGAAAAATTTTGCATTGTCCCAAATAATAAGATATGACACCTTATTCGGAATTTAAATTTGATTTTGAAATTTAATTTGAAGATATATTTTTATTTTAAGGATAATAACTCGAATTATATATCGAATTAGAATGAAGAGATTTTTTTATTATCCAAAATAATTGATTATGAGATTTTATTTTGAATTTAAATATAATTAAATTTTTTTAAATTTATTTTAAGGATAAAAATTAGAATTATATATTGAATTTGAATGAAGAGATTTTTTTTATTATCCCAAATAATTGATTATGAGATTATATTTTGAATTTAAATATAATTATTTTTTTAAAAAATTTTCCCTGCTCCAAAAATTAAAAAGTTAAAAATAAAATTTTAAAATTAATTATTTACAGAAAAAATAGTTTTTAATAGAAGCTAATGTTTCTAAATCCTGCATCATGGATAAAATAAAATAATAATCAAGGAGATGGAAAAACTTTTCACAAAGAAATACAAGTTAGCATGGCCACACCTATTTTTATGAAATCAGTTGATTAACTTATCAATGTCTTGAGTCGAATTTTACACACAATCGCTAATATTTTAGTTTCTAGAAACATATGGTCTACCAACATCGATATGAAATTCCCAAATAGAACTGCACTATATACTAAGCTCTCACGAAATATTCGATAATATTACATGACTTTTTTTCATTTTTTTATGGTCCGATACATTTCTACTGATTAGCACCGCTACTGGGTGCTAAGAGCTTCATACATAAGATATCCTAAAAAGACGAACCTGCAGAGTAAAATGTGTAAGTCAACTGGTCCACAATTCCGAAGGTATCGGACTTTCCATTTTTATAAATTAAAAATAGTCGTAAAAAGGTGAACTGATGCAATTCCACAATTCTGAAGAGAAAAATTCTCAAAAATTTGGTCTATTAGAGTTTATTGAGGTCAATAGTTTCCACGATTCAATAGGTCATCGATTTCTACCACACATTTTTGTAGGAGTCACATTCTATCCAAAAATTTGGAATGTGATTGCCGATAAAAGCCTGGTAGTCCTTTGAAATGAAAACCTATTTATAGCCGGTTAAAAATATAAAACAAAATCATCAGTGTTGTGATTACTCTTGAAAGAGTGATCACATTCAGTCGTCCTCTTAATTCGCATTTACGATAAGATTAGAAATATCTGCCTTGAAAAAGTAGATCAACTGATGTCAATATAATCCAACCTCCTCAATTTGTATTGGGCTTCAACTGATGCTGCTTTGCAGAACTACGGCATGTTGTAGTGGTAACTGATAGGTGGGGCTTCTTTATCTGCCCAGTTAAGCTGAATCAGGTAACCTCAACGGGATATATAAATTAATATATTTACAATAAAAAATTATAATTATTCATTTGCAATGCAAACCAAATATTTAGAGCAAATCAAAATCTAAAGGCAAGTTTTTTATTACTAAATACTACAACTAAAAAAGTGGGACTGGACTCAAACCTTTATGTAATATTGTATATATATAATTGGAATATGTAATGGGGTTGGTGTTGTTGGACTTGTATAGTATATATATTGAAATATCTTGAAATATATATTTATTTGAATTTTGTTATTTATTTTTGTATATTTTCCCTGTTTTTGTGACTTTAAAATTTTGACTGCTTTAAAAAAATAAAATAATTTGCTTCAAATTAACAAATTATTTTTAATTGTTTAATTTTTTTAAATAAAGTACATAATTTTCATAAAATGAAAATTTGTCTTTTATTGTAATTAGTTTGAATTTATTAATTTTTTGTTGAATATCAATTTTTAACCAATAAACATTTTTGTGTATCACAAACTTTGTACCGAATTAAGAGAGAGAAAATATTTCACACAAATTATTGCCAGATTTTTTTCCTTTTTTCATTTATAAAAATTGTCTTTTCTTTAAAAAGCACACCTTCCGCAATTTTGTTTTTCTTACATCCAAAAGATTTTTTCATAAGATTTTCTAAAAAAGAACTTTTATATATTTTTTTATAGATTTTTTCTCTTTTTCGATTTGAAAAAATATGAACACATAGTAGTTGTTGTTGTGGTTGTTTTCTTTTAGGATGTTCTTTTAGCCAATACATGTTATTTTTCCCTAGCGCATGATGTTTGTGTTTCCTCATTTTACTTTTTGGCCAATACAAAAATGCAATTATACACCTTTTGTTGTCTCCAAATTTTTTCATCATTTTTTTCTCTTACTTTCCATTTATAATTTATTGTTTGTTTTTTTCGTTTTAAGCTTAAGGTTCTATCATGATGATTATTAAAAGTGTGTTGAACTACACAAAAGCAGCGGAGCCAGTGTGGTAAAAAAATTAAAAATTTTCTTTTGTGAATGATCGCCTGATATTTTTTTGTTGGTTTGTTTCTTTTGTAATTTATACTGTAATTGCTGATCTGATCCTGATTTGACTGATGGTAATGTATTCAATCGAACTAAACCTCATAAGGGTCTAAGGCGGCGGATGATCATGTTTGCTGGTGGTAGTGATGTTGTTGTGGTCTTACAACAAGTTGTATTGCTGTTATATTATTTTACAAATTGCCTTTGAAAAAATAAAAGACAATCGTCTGGTATTATTTATACATATATCGATCCTTAGCTTAAAAAATGGATGGACAAAAAAACAAAAAACTTCTTCTGATGTGAATTTTCCCGTCATGTTTCTGTTTTTCCTGTTTCTCTTTTGTTTGGAGCCTTTGCGTTTGATGTGAAATGGCTGTAAATGTACATGCAGTTGGAGAGAGGAGGGTGGAAATTTCTGGTTAATAGTATTTGGCTGGACTGGACTGGCATGGCATAGTTTACAGTTTTTATTTCTTGAATTTTGTGCGTCTTGAATAGTCGATTTGTTTCTATTTATGGAATCTACAGTCCCGACCGTTTTGTCCAGAAATTTCCCTGACCTCTTTTTTTTGGATGATGTCTTTGTGATCTCCAACGTCTTCTGATTGATGATGAAGTGTGTAAGTGGCTGTTTTCTATCTGTTTTTATTTCGTGGTTGTAAATTGCTAATAAAAAAGCAAATTGGCAGCATTGTTTGTTACTTTGTTATTTTTTATTGGATTTTCTTTCTGTTTTGGTTGTTTTTTTAGGTATTTTTCGTTTCATTGAAGTTTTACTGTTTTTTTATATGGAGACAACATTTTGCATTTTGTATGGTTTCTAATACTCCCAATATCATGCATCCTGAATTTCGCCCTTTAGTCCAGGCACCCTGTGGTGTTGGTTATGACCTAAACGATTGGCTAAATCCTGTACAACATCTCGAAATATAACCGTATCTATGTTTTCACCTAATAAATACAATAAAAACCAATCGCCCATCTTTGAACGACGAACGATTATTTCTATAGCGTCTCGACGCACTAACCTGTAATGAGATAGAGAGAGAGAGAAAAAACGAAAATTAGTTTATCTCTAAATTGAAAATAATTTCCAAAAAAAACTTACCTAAATCTCATACGAAATAAGTACACCCTCATACGTGGTGAAAATATAATAACCACCCTGTATATAATTGTTAATAATGTCAATAATGTTAATAATATAAACCAAAACCAAAGGAAAATATAGATTTTTTCATTAACAACATTTAATGGCAATATGCATATAGCATCGTGTTTTTCCACCTAAAAGAAGGGAATATAAAAAAATCAATATTAATAATTTTGTAATTTAATAAAATTGATTAGAACTCACCTCCCCGCTCGAACCATATTTAAAAAATGTACATTTGGTCATTCTAGGGAATATGTATATCATGGGATCCATTCGGTCTTCTTGATCGGCCTCCATATATTGTATCACATCTAAGCCAAATGTCATAAATTCGCCATCGAAAAATCGATTCATAAGAAACATTTGACCTGTAATATTATAAAAAATAAAATACATTTAATAAGTAATAAAATCCAAATATACATTCATAAAGAACGGAATTGGCAATTAAGAATTCGAAGATAAATCACCTTTTAAATTAGATTAAGATAACTTCCATCATCAAGCAGATATTCAAAAAACCTATTATTGATCATAGAGCATTTAGAAGTTTTTTTTGGGCCGCAGTTTATTAAGAGCTAATATTCTGGAAAGTCATTATCCTGTAAATACCAAAATTTGGAAGTATCGTTTGTTGTATCACAATGGATACAGAACATATCATATCAGAGCCTATTCAGTTCGACAACCAATAACACTGAATACTGGAAGGTACAGTTATATGGTACAGGAACTTGAGTCAATATTGATAATTTTCTTATAAGGACATTTTCTACACAGTAAGAATCCAAAATAAAAAAATTACAGCGAATTGGGTTAAAAACATTTCAGATTCCTAGTAAATTAAAAACTTTGACCCCAGAATAAGCTCAAAGACCCGTTTAATAAAAAGTACATTTAAACTTCTGGCCCAATATTCCATTGGTATATAATTTTCAACCTACGATTTATAGTGATAAAGCACTCGTATAAAGGTCCCGATTGTTTTAAGAAATGTTGGAGGAAATAAAATGATCACATCGAATCCTTATATTCCCTCAGCCTCATCGTTATATTGGTTTTAGATCATATGCTTCTTTGGACCAAATCCGTTACAGAGCAGATTTATAAATGAATGGTGTTTATGGTACCGATACTGTAACAGCCAATTATGTCCAATTTAGTATTGTAGATTCCGTTCAGGAATTTTTGAAAATCGGAGAAGTGATCGAAGTTGACCGCCATGTTAGCAGTCGTAACATCGTACAGGAGCTAAAATCGACCATAAAACTGTTTTAATGAGACATTTTAATGCATCCGGCATACAGTCCGTATTTGGCACAGAGCGATTATCATTTTTTCTTGCATCACAAAAATTCTTTAATGATAAAAATTGGTATCTAGGGAGGATTGTGAAAATCGACTAATTTGTTTGCAAATAGAGAGCAGGACTTCTATGAGAGAGGCATTATGAAGTTAATGAAAATGGCAACAAATCATACAACAAAACGGTGCATATTTGGCCCAAATTGAACATTCCGCATCATGTTAAATATATTCATATAGTTCACATAAAAATAATGGATTTCTTTTTCTCCAACCTAATATATTTATACAAAATCCAATGCAGAATTCAACTAAACTTAACACACGTCATTCTATACTCAATTTAATACGCTTTGCAAATTTCGTGTATATGGAAGAAACAAGTTTTTTTTTCGGTGCACCATTTACATAGAAGCGGGCGAAAATATATATGGGAGTTAAATCTTAATGTCAACCGATTTTTAAGAACCTTAACATAATTAATCTCTAACTCTTATTAAAAACCCTATTGCATACCCTCTGCCAAATTTCGCGTACATCTAACAAACATATGCCTTTTGGTGCACCATTTACATAAACTCGGAAGAAAATATATGAATATGGGAGCTATTTCTAAATCTGTACCGATTTCAAGGTAACTACGCACACATCATTATATACTTAATATAGTATGGTATTCCAAATTTCGATGAATATATATATGGGTACTATATCTGAATCCTTACAAAACTTAGATCATTCTAGACTCAATTTGGTGGACAATTTTGTATAAATCGAAAGAAATGTGAGGGTATTTGTGTCCCATTTGTATAAAATCGGATGATCATGGGAGCTATATATAAGTCTGAAACGATTTAGACAAATATTTACATACGTCAATCTGTACTTAATTTAGTGCGATATGCAAAATATGTCTCAGTCGGACAAAAATTGTGATTTGGATTAACATATGTGGAATCGGACAAACCAATATATGGGAGCTATATCTAAATCTGAACCGATTTTCTTCAAATTCAATAGGGTTCGTCCTTGTGGGAAGATACATGATTAGGCTCCAAAATGCGACCAGTACTTTGTTTACAATTTAGTATGCACAGAAAAACGGACGGACATGCATAAATCGACTGAAATTTCTATACATATTCCTAAATGGAACCAACTGGTTTCTGGTTTTCTTCTGCCTGTTACAAATATATGCACAAAAACACAACACCCTGTATCACAGTGTGTTGAAGGTATATAAATTATCCACCTCTACACTAGGCACGAATTCTAAAGACCTCCCTAAACCATAGGCCAACCAATGTATACCCTGGTCGGCAACACCGACTGACACTATTTTGCTTGTTAGTTGCCATCTTAGATTATTAATACTTTGACAGTGTCCCCAGATATAACTTTGTCCGATTGCATGTAAATGGTGTAAAAATACCAAACGCTTTCCCATTTTGCTTATAACTATAATTAAGAATGAAATTTGACAGTCATTTCATACTTAATTGTAAAATATTATTTCAATCGATCATACATAACTTTATTGGATTGATATACGATTTTACAGCAAAATGTCACCCCGTCCGAATTTGGTCCTTTCCCTATTTTTTGTAAGCAGCGTATGCAAAATATACATTTTAATTTGATTTTGAAGATTTTGATAATTTTATCTGAAATAAAACATTTAGAAGATTTCGTGTAAAATAATCCCCAAACATAAAGTTCTGAATTAGCCTTGACTAAAGGCAGATTACGACACTTCCAATAGAGCGCGACACAGTTGGATACCAGCAAAAATTCCATTATGTTAATGCCATCATTAATCAATAATGTTAGAGGTCATTTATAGTTATATAGTTTTTAAGTTTAAAACAATTTCCTAAACTATAACGTCACACATTAAGTTTATATTAAATCAAACAAGTAAAAGTAAACAAATTAAAATATAAATAGAAGTAAACAGTTGTGAAGAAGCCAATAGCCATTTTTTTCATTATCATAATAATAAAAATTTTATTATAATATATTAATTACACTTTATAAATCAAATTTATTTGTTTGCAAATAGTGTTTTTAATAGCCACATAAAAAAATATGAAAATAATTAAAACAGCAATATTTGATTTACTTCAAAAGAAGTCTTTATCGATTTGGTGAATTTATGTTTCGCATATAATAATTATTTTAATTGCCCATATAGAAATAATTCCATAATAGTTGGCGGTTTGTTGTTATTATTGTTATTGTTCCCCATAACCATATATGTTTAATTTTAGTTATTTTTCGGGAGATCATTAAAAACCCACAGATGTTTTCGTAATTTACATGGTAGGGAGATAAACACATGTGTATATACGTGTATGAGTTCAAGAAGATCATGATTTGTTAAATATCATAATATTTATATTTCGAAAAGAAATTACGTAGGATTAACAATGCAATTTGGACAATAGTTTATAATGATAATATTTATGTCTTTATACATGACCACATAAGGTCTTATAAACACATTTATAAAGTATACCATGAGTATAAGTCCGCTAGAATGGATTCTGTTTACAGGAGATCTTTAGGAATTCTTTTATGTACAGAGCCGATTTACAAATGTCTGTCTGTATGTCTGTTTGGTTGGTGCGCACGATACCTCTCGAAGGTTCGAAGATGGGAAATATCGGTCCACTCCTTCTGGTACCACCCCCATAAAATGGTCAAAATTGTGCTAAAAATCTATTTTATAATAACATACATACGGACTATCCGATTTTAACGAAATTTTGCACAACATATTGTCTTCACCAAGCCCAAATCAAGTTTGAAGATGAGACCCATTGGTCCACTCTTTCTGGTACCTCCCTCACAAATGAAGACAATTTTCAATATTTATAAATCCAAATAAATACCTGTACATTATGCCTTTCCCAAAAATGTTCTGCAATAATATGTTTCGCCCTTTAGGAGTTCGAAATGCCAAGGTACAGTCGTTTCGGAGCTTCATAATACTGGATACAAAAATTGACCCAAATTACTCACTTAGATTGGAAAATTCGTAACGTATCATGAAACATTTGTGTCAATGTCTTCTGATACCACGAAATGTATACTTGAGACCATATTACAGATTATAAAATCATTTTTGTAGCGGAACCCTTTGTATATAGATGTACCTAAATCGAAGATTTCATTTGAAGAGATTTTACCCATAATGCACCCGGAATGAACAGTCATTTTTGCTAGAAATGCTCCTGGTATTATTAAAATGGTTAAGATAGGACTGAACATTTATATATGGGTTTTGTCCAAAGATGAACCTTTTTGATAATAGTTTTCACTCTTCGATTTCCACTAAAACCGTTCAAAACTTATTTGTCCAAAAACGCTTAAAATGAGTGGGTCCATATCGCACATGGGTCTATTTCGAATGATGGATCTAAATTGAAAATTTTTTTACACATCAAGAACCCGGAATGACAGTGACTATGCAAATACCTAAATTGAAGCGGAAGCCCTAATAAATGGGGAAGGATCTTCATTGGGGAATATGCAGAAACATGGATCTATTCATAATACCATACATTCTAGGCATATGTGCTTCTATGACTATGTAAATACCTAAAATGGAGGGGGAGACTTAAAAGATGGAGCCCTTGCCCCATCATAGGAGGCCTTGCCAAACTTTAAACCTATTTGCAATTCCAAGCATTCTAGGTTTAGTATATATGTGTATGTTACGATCGCAATCGTTATTTCGACAGACTACTTAAAAACTTTAATGTCCAAATACTTCTCTTCAAATCGGATTGTTCTTAGATCTCGCAAACACCTCCATTAGGTTAATCAGGGTTACTACCCCACAAAAAGACCTTCTATCATTTAACCTCAATTTATGTCGCAATTATTTACAATAATGTGAGCAAAAAACAAAATAAATCTTGATCATCTCAACTGTCTATCTACAAGCAATTTTGTGTGATGCATTAAAATAAAGCGTGCTATATTCAAATTTGATTAAAATTAAAACAAAAACCTCCAATAACCATCAATAATTCTTTTTTGGTTTTTGCCTAGAAACAACAACAACGACATCGAAGAAACAGGCTCACGAAAATCAATAAATGTTATGCGGTTAATTATGTTTATTTATTTATTGGCTACTATTTTGTTCATGTTCATACACCACACAGGCCGTATTCAGTGGTCAGTTTATTGAAACAAAACAAAAACAGCAACAGCAAAAAATTAACATTAAATTTCAATGCGATTTGTTTATTTTCATTAATCAAGCAACAGCTGCAGCTATGCACAACAACGACAACAACAAAAAATCAACCCCCAGAGACGATGTCTAACAATACAATGGACTCACACACACGATAGTCAGTAAATATTTCGGAATTTTGAGGAAAAACGTCTATGAGAGATGGCTCTTTGGATAAACACACAACTCGTCAATGAATGGCACATAAATTACTTGGCAAAATATACAAACACACACACGCACACATACAGACATAAATATTTTTGATATTTATTTGAAAACGTTTGTCAATTTATTTGTTAATTTGCGATCAGAGTCTGTCTGTCTTTGCATATTTATTTGGCAGTTTTTTTGTGGGTTAAATTGTGTGAAATTTATTCTCCTACCATGTACATGTGTGAGTGTGTGTGAGTCTCACTTGTATGCCTACATTTTTTGTTCGACTCCAAATGATGAATATTGAAATAATTGCCAATTCAACGAATTTTCTAAATAGAAGACGACGACTAATACAAATTAGCGGAAGAAATTATTACTCACCTATCACATTGATGAGTGCTAACAACTCGCAAACATAGTATCTGTACGCCCACCAGTTGTGATATCTGTAAAACAAAAACAATAAATTAGATACAAATGTGAATGTGTGTGTTGATGAATCGTCATTTAATGTTCCATTGAATCGACAAATAAGACATTATAAAAATACATACATACACATGCATGTACATACATACGTACATACTCGTATATTTTTTTGTATACTGTCATGGTTAATTGAACAGGATATTATCGCTTAATTTGTTTGGTGATGTTATAAATTTGGTTTGCTGCACGCACATACATACCTTAGATTTTCCCATAAATAATCTAAAAGTAATTTCTTTTTTTGTTTTTTCTCGGCTTCGGAACAGATTCCTATATCTAAGTCCATGATAAGTGCATGAATTTTGCCACCTTCCCAAGACTTCCACAGCCATCTTGGTGTATAAAATAATATTGCCTGGAATAAAGAAAAATAATTCAGAAATTAATATTTTCTTAATGGATTCAACAATATTATACAATGGTAAATAAAGATGTGCATATAGTTGTATTTTATCGATAACATTTATAACTACCATTTTAACTAGGTACGTATAATTAATATTATTCTCATATCATGGTAGTAATACGTATACGCACCACATCATTGCAATTTATGAAAACTCAAACACAACCAGTAAAGAAAGCAGTAAAGTCGGACGGGGCCGAGTATATGATACCCTTTACCACTTTGACAATATTCCAGAAATACATCCTTACAGGCCTTGAATTTGTGAAGGACAATTGACATGAAATTCGACTAAGGTAAATATGTGATCTGTCTCTATATGTGAACCGACTTCACCCAACGATCAATAACTGGGTATATTTGTATAAATTATATATGGGCAATATTGCCAATTTTTTAATATTCCATTTACAAAAAATCAGCTTTTTTGTTTTTGTGGAACATCAACGATTTTTGGTACACATATAGAGAAAAATGTTCTGACTCCGAAATCGTTCGCGATCAAATTTTTGGTTGATGCGCGCAAATGTTATCGAGGTTTTAATTTTGGGCATAAGAAAAAAATCTTAAAATTACGCCGTTTTTTATATTGACCAAAAACGTTGATATATATCTTCCTCCGTAAAATAAGAATATGAATATATTATAATAATCACGATAAAGTTGCACATATTCGCGAAATATGAAAAAAATAAAAAATATATAGCAGATTACATCAATATTTTCAATATATTAATGACATACACACACCTAAAAAATAATTTAAAAATATCTACATAATCTAAACACCATGATGAATCAAATGATATCAAAATCACGCAAGTCCGTGTAGCGGTTTCTAAATCAAAGCGACAGAAAAACAAGATATTGAGGGAAAATATTTGTTTTTGGTTCGAAAAAATATTGTCATCATATTTATTTTTTGAATTGTATACAAGAAATTTCAGAAAAAAATGTTGGGGTTATTCTGCTATTTTACCCGAATTTCGCCGAAAAATTGAGATATATAATAATAATCACTTTCTGTTTATAAGTATACGCCTTGCGGATTATATCAAGACCCTTCCGATAAATCTTAGAATTCTATAAATAGGAATAAATCTTAAAATAAAATAATATTATGTAATATACATTTTAAATTGCGTGTAAATCGCGTAATTCTCAAAATCATTTGATGCGCATGCGGTTTCCAGGAAGTACTGAAGTTTATCTTCCAATCCATATATATTTTGCGAAATTTCATTTGACGGTTAAGATGTGCCACACGTTACATTGAAGTACCCAAAAAATCGTAAAACGCTAATAATTTCCGAAAACACCATATGCCATTAACGAGCATCCGATTTCGGTGTGCACCCTAAAAAAATACATCGATCTATACCATTTCAATGTGGTCCATTAAGAACCATGGATGTGCTAGCACAATCTATTTTTGAGATAAATTGCGTACATCTCTCTTTCGGCTGAAGTTTTTAAAGTTCTCTTTTCGAAAAATATCAAAATTTGTATAAGGTCATTTATTGAAGCGGAAATGATACACAGAAAACACAAATAAATCCGCGATATTTTAAAAAACATTTCGTGTTTTTGGAAGGCCAGTTCCCGCCGTTCATGTTGATGGATTTTCACGAAGAAGATTTTATATCATCCGAAACGTAAAAAACCTTATTGATCGCGGGTACCCATATCATTCAGTTGACAGATCTAAAAATTTGGCCCCAAAAATAGGTTTTTTAGAAATTTGATCGCACAAAATTTTAACCTTCGGATGAGTATTACTCTGAAGCTGTGCATACTACATACACAAAATATATATCAAATTACGCAGATTCGCGACTACAATAATCTTATAATCGATTTTTATAAATTCCTGTTTGCGTATTAAAGCTAGAAGTAAAATTAAAAAAACACTCAAAATCGAGCTTCAATATGTCAGCATCATTTAAAGGTAGATGCAGTTAAAATTTTGAAAAATGATACATGAGGGGCGTAGTCCCCATTTTGTTGGCTTCTAGTTTTATTTTGACACGAAGACCGTGCAATGAGTGGCTTAGTCACAAATCGATAGAGAACATAAAAAAACTGGTTCGCCTCAACCTGATTTTACACATTTTTTTTTACATTAAAGTAGACACAGCTTCCACCAAAATAGGAGGTCAATATCATGAACAGTTTGCAACGACAGATCAATTAACCCAAAACTATTCACTTTTTTCATATACTTAAGTAGTTCCCGAGTTATAAAGGAGTGAACCTCTGCTTCAGCTATGTTAAAAAATTGGCAATATTGCCCATATATATTCTTGATCAGCATAAAATTCTATGATGATTTATGCAGGTCCGTCTTTCTGTTGTGATCACTCTAGCGTCTACACGAATTGAGATAGGTCGCCAAAATTTTGCATAAAGTTGTCTCTTGTCTGCAGGTCCGAAGATGAGCTTTATCGGTACACGTACCAAATGTCTCTATTAAAAATTAAAGATTATTAATATCGGTCCACTTCGATACGTTGTGCGTAATGTTGTGCCAATCGAACACCCTTTAAATCTTTAGTGCACCATTTGCGAAAAATCGGTATCTAAATCTGCACCGATTTCAATAAAAGTTGGCACACGTTAGTCTACCCTAAATTCAGTACGTTGTGCAAAATTTCGTGCCAATCGGCCTAAATTTGACTCTTTGGTGCACCATTTGCGAAAAATCGGACGAACATATATATGGGAGCTATATCTAAATCTGAACTGATTTCCATGAAACTTAGCACACGTTAGTCTATCCTAGATTTAGTGCATTGTGCAAAATTTGGTGCCAATCCGTCAAAAATTTGACTCTTGGGTGCACCATTTGCTAACAATCGGACGAAAATATATATGGGAGCTATATCTAAATCTGAACCGATTTTTCCCAATTTCAAAGAATTGATCTGTACCAAATTTTATCTCATTCGGATAATAAATGCGACCTGCACTTTGTTTACAATTTAACATGGACAGACGGACGGACGGACAGACGGATAGACGGACATGCATAAATCGACTCAGAAAGTGATTTATACATATTCTAAGAAGGACCATGGGTCTATCTCGTTTCCTTTTGCCTGTTACAAACATATGCACAAAGACATAATACCCCGTACCACAGTGTGGTAAAGGGTATAAAAATGTATATAAGACGCACATAGTAATAGAATAAATTGTCTAGTTGTTGATTATAATTTTAATAAATTGGTATAACTTTTTCGTGTAAAAATACTTCCACGTTTCTTATACGCTCCACCATAGCTCGAATATATGTTTAAGGTATGATCACTTTTGATATTTTGAAATTAGTCTTTATTAGTCTTAAATGCTTATCAAAATGAATAAATTAGCATTTCGTGATCTCTTTTTTTGTTTTTTTTTTTTTCAAAATAATTTTCAAGCTAAATGTCTACAGTTTTAAATTGTATGGATTTCGATATTTTCCAATAAAATGCAGTCTAATTTTGCATTTCGCATTAAACTTTTCAGAAATTTATAGAGTTATTTTTGGTATCACTAGAATTTTGTTTAATCCCCTGGTTTAGGAACATGAAGCTTAAATTTTTTGAAGAACCATAAAAGTGCAGATTTTTAAATTAATAATTTTTGAGCGAATATTAGATCGTATAAAATAAATTTGTTAGAAGAAGAAGAGACTGTTCAAGTAATAATGTAATGTTAAATAATTAATGTATCAGTAAAACATAGATTTTTAAAATAATATTTTGTTGAGTGACCATTAGTATTTTTGTAAGAGGCCATTAGATTTTCCTTAGATATTGAAAATAATATTTTTAAAGGACCATTTTTCGCACTCTGTGTGAATTAGAGTGTAGATATTTAAAAAACCATGTTTGGAGGCTATTAGAGCATAGATATTTAAATGAATTTCACAAAAATACCAGGCGCTCAGATTAAAATAGAATATAGCACGCCAAAATTAAAAAATTGAGAAAAATTTGCAGCAGGCAACGTCGTACTAAGAATTTAAAAAAGTAGGCGCTCGAATTTTTCGCTGGTAGGGTGTTGCCGGATGAACATTTTATAGTTTTTGTTTTTTTGGCGGACAGCTTGCTATTTTATTATGGGCGCTTGGTATTTTTGTGAAATTTGCAATAAAATTCACAAACTTGTTGGGAATTCTTTAAAAAAGTCATTGGGAGCCAGGAATGTTTTTACAAGTAACCACTAAACAGCTTATATTGAGAACCCCCACCAACAGATTTTTCCATATCTTAACACTGCACACCAATTCTGATTTTTTAACCTTTGTACTCTTATAATACTTTTTTTGAAGAAAAAAATCAAATATAGGTTCACCCAAATCCAAATTAAGTAGCATTTTGTATACATTAATATACATTTCCATAACTACCTATTTTAACAATCAAAGGTACGAATTTCAAATACTTCCACATACACCAATCTTAATTCCAAATTTCAGGATTCTATCGGTTCACCTAATTCCAATTTGTATCACATTTAGTACCACTTAGAACACATAAGTACAAATTTCCATTATTGCCCACATCATGCAATCCAATGGAAATCTTATTACTCAATTTCAGGATTCCAGCTCTATCGGTTCTCTCTTAATTCAAATTGTACCAGATTTAGTACACATTAGTAGACATTTCCAAAATTTTTTACATAGCCCAATCCAAAACCCCAACAGTGACCCTTACCACCATTTGGTACGCATTAGTACGAATGATCTTAACTCCAAATTTCAGGATCCCACCTCTATCAGTTCACCCAAAATTCAAATTGTAGCAAATTTACTAAAATTTAGCACCCATAAGTATGAATTTGCAAAACTACATCCATACACCAATCCTACACTCCAACAGTACCATTCTTTCCAAATTTTAGTGTTGCAGCTCTATCAGTTCGCCCAAATCCACATTTGGTACACAGTAGTACGAATT